ATTGACTTAATGATGGTGAGATCCCGTATCCCTAAAGATTCTGAGAATCCTCTCAGAGAGCTCCTAACTTAACCTAAAAATTCCTTGCCAGGAGTTTTAGCTTAGAAGTGATTCCAGAACATTTTCAGTGAACTCTGAGCAAGGAATGGATGGAAAATCCTATCTTAGTGAAGAGGTGTGGTTGACCCCGTTGCTAGGTATGAGTCATCATTTCAAAAGGCGTGATTGGTTGATCCTACAAGTTTAATGAAAATGAACTTTTGGTGATAATGAGCAAAGGATGTACCCTCAAATCAATAAACATAGTTATACACTCTAATCTTATGCAGACTGTAATTGTAAATAATATTTCACATTTAAGAAAATATCTGGAAAATGAATAGTAAGCTGTAGGGGTTATAGCCTAACATTAGAATCTACAATATGTGAAAACTTAAGCTCATTACACCCTGTTCAAATAATGATTCGTGTCTTATTTGCTCATATTAATATCCTAGCTGGCATATTTTGTACTTTCACTCCCATATGGACCCCCCATTGAAAACAAGATGGCCTATCTCAAGGGGCTGTCCTTAATGAAGTAGAAATTGCAACGTTACAACTCAGTGTGGTCTTAACAAGGGTAACACGGCTCAGCTTTTATCAATGTCTGTGATTGCTGGCTGGTCTATTTATGAAGGCTTGTTAACAAATATCCTACAACTCCTTGAACTCCTAAGCCACTAAAAGTCCTCTTCCCTGCTCTTAGCAGATCTCGCCTTAGGAGCCCTTTTAAGCGCTAGGAATCTTGAGGAATAGCTTTTATATTAACTGGGATTTTCGTGTCACTTTTAGGGGAAATTCTAAGAAAACGTCATGACTCTGAGAATTTTCTTAGAATTTGGCCGCTAGGAGCCACTTTTTGCACAAAAATTCTTTAGGGATACGGGCCCAGATCTTCGTTTGGATCATACCGGCTGTTGTCAGACTCCTTGTTCATACAAAAATCTCACTGGATTATTACAAGTAATGGCAAAAGGAACGTTTGGAAATCTAAACTGATATTTCCGTCTGGTACACTACAGCAAAAGATATAAACTTAACCATTGTTTGGTAAAAATACTAATGTGCCCAAGACTTTTGCACAATACTGTATATAATAATAAACTATACTGTTTCGCATCTTAGTAAGATATGTCAACATTTGAACTGCTTTAAACTTTTTATTTTTACATCAGAAGATATTTGAGTAAGCTGAAACCCAATCCTGTAATTCGGAAATTTCTCAACAAAACAAATCCTGTCGTCACTGGCGCGCAATGAATTCTGGGTTAGGCAAGGCCACGAAGGATCCATCTGTTGTATCCTACTGCACAGGAAATGAAGGACAATGAATTGGGACAGCCTTCGTCGCGCCACTGTGATGCAATCGGCCTTCGAAGGATGCAGCTTCTGAATTGGGATGCAGGGGCATGGTGAAGAAAAAAATTAGATGTGAGGAAAAATTACTGTACGTGGCAATGCTTTTGCGTTCTCTGCGTTGCCCTAGTAAACTTTGCATTCCCTCGCAAAACCTTTGTGTTCCGCACAGATAATCAATAATCCGTTTTATTAATGAATGATTTTTAAAACTCAAACGTGTGTCTTGTTGCATATTCAACTGTAATAAAGGAGAAAATAAATGCTTAAATAAGTCTCTCGTTTCGGTAAACTGGCTGCGGCAGCAATAAAAATCCGTTATTGACTGAAAACACAATTAGTTACGCCCATGGCCTTCAACAGAACTGAGTGCATCTGTCATGCCCTCCACACAAAACCAACCACTTCAGTTTATAACAGGCTTCTAGCAAATCGAGAATCCCTTGCTTTCTATTTTCCACTAATGGATGTTACATAATTACATTATTACCTGCTGTGATCTATAAGATTGAAGTCAAATAACAACATTAGATTAGAGGTATAATGAAGCAAGAAAAAAAAAAACCTTGAACCATGAAATTGGTCTTTAATAAGACAAAACACCAAAAACAAGAAGTCAGTGTTATCTCAGATTTTATTCAGCAAAGCATGTGCCTACAATATCTTACAAACAGAAAAAAACCCAGAGGGATTGTCCTCGTACAAACAGGTCAGCAGGTAGAACATTTACAATCATGCATCATGACGAGTCGAAGGGCTCGCGACGCCTCTCGCCAACACGAGGGAACTGGCAAAGTTCAGACAAGGAGAGGACCTTCTACCACTTACAAATACAATTCACTCAAATGCTACGAGCCCAAAGGAAGGACGAGGGGAAAGATCAATATGATCTGAGCATCAGGCAGCATTCGTGGAACTCGTTGTCCTTTTCCATTGTCCTCCAGCAGCACTGAAAGGCCAACTTTAATGATCGCAGAAATGGTGCATTAGCTGCAGTTCAGAAGCAGAATGCTCTCACGTTCAAAAAAAGGCTCCTTCATCCATCAGAAAGGTTTGAACTGATTTCACAATTACACAACAAATTAAACTAGACATGAGAAAATGTCTCCAGAGCTGAAGAAAAAAAGATTTCAAAGCAGGTTTATATGGAAGCTCATTTTCACCACATAAGAAAAAATTATTGCGACTGTTACGATTCAGACTTTTTTACTCATAATTGCGAGTTGAGGACGTAAAGGATACACTTGATGCATCCTTCAAAATAAGCCAAATGAAGGACATCAAACGAAGGCTGACTTCCAAGAATCCGTGAAAATTGAAAAGGCCTTCGATGGAGTTTAATGACGTGACAGCCGAGATATGCAGCCTTAGCCTTCCGATTGAGAAGCGCCCTACAACTTGAAATTGTGAGAAACTTGAAATTGCAAGAAAATAAAGTCAGAATTACGAGATGCAAACTAGTTATTACGAGTTTATAATTTGCAATTGCAAGATATAAACTCACAACTGTAATAAAAGTCAGAATTGTGAGATATAAATCCACAATTGTGACAAAAAGTCAGAAATATGAGATATAAACTCGCAATTGTGAGAAAAAAAAGTCATCTCGCAATTGAATCAGAATTAGAGTTTATACCTTGAAATTAAATATAAACTTGCAGTTGTAGAGAAAAAAAAGTCAGAATTGAGAGATGCAAACTTACGTGAGGAAAAAAAAAAATCTAGATTGTGAGATAAACTTGCAATTGTGAAGGGAAAAAAGTCAGAATTGTGATATAAACTTGCAATTGTGAAAAAAGTCAGCATCTCGCAACTGAATCGCAATTACGAGTTTATAACTTGGAATTGCACAATATAGTCGCAATTAAGAAAAAGTCAGAATTGTGAGATGCAAACTAGTAAATTACGAGTTATTACTAAGTTATTACTTGCATTTTACTTGCAAACTGTGAGAAAATGTCAGAAGTGTGAGATATAAATCACAATTGTGAGGAAAAAATGTCAGAATTGTGATATAAACTCACAACTGTAAGAAAAAGTCAGAATTGTAAGAAAAAGTACATTGCGAGATATAAACACAATTGTGAGGAAAAAAATCATAATTGTGAGATAAAAACCCGCAATTGTGAGAAAATGTTGAGACAAACTCGCAATTGTGAGACAAAAAGTCACATTGACATTTGTTTTAATTACATGATGGAAACAAGCTTCCATTGGTTGCTCAATGCAATAATTTAGAATTTTTATATAACTTTATCAAACTAGTTATGCTAGGATGAATTAAAAAGGGGGAGTAAAAAACAAAACAAACGTTCGTTCTTAATCATCAACAGAAAAAGCACAACTGAATCCCACTCTTTCACAGCCATTACTGCAGTTTTGACTTGGACATGAAATGGGGAGGAAGTCAGTGAGAGCAGATTTATTTATTTCAACTCAAAATGTATACAGCAGGTTAAACTGAAGGAGGAAAACTATTAAACAGAAGACAGCGATGAACATGACTGACACGGTGCAAAGGCACATTAGCGTTTGGATGCCTGTTTATTATGGGCTGTAATATTGGGAGAAAGAAGGTGAGTGCTGATGAACCATGACTGATGCAGCTTAAGAAGGCTGTAACTAAGCAAGGCATGATGGGAAAATGGGTTCGTCGATAAAGAGCAGTGAATCATACAAAGATGCAATGCTAAACCAAACAGGAGCATGAACTGAATGGAGGGGGAAAGCATTCGTAACAAGTCTCATGCACATCTACTGGATATGATCACACATGCATGATATGAGTTTCATTGGGTGGAAATGAAAACCTAAATGGACAGTAAGAATAATGAAACGGTAGGTTTGGAAGGCAAAGATTAAAACAAAACTAAAAGTATTAAACGAAACAATAAAATGGATGGTTGAGAAATGGATAAGAGTACAAAAAATAAGATATCTACAATAACGATTTACTTTTTTTTTTTTACTTCAATGTTAAATGTACAAGAGATTGCTGCTGCATCACTGCTGTTAAGTCGCTGATTTTGCAAATACATTCATTTGAAATGTCCAGAAACAGATGTGAAACTAAATGAGACGTGAAGCCTAAAGCCATGAATCGTAGCGTTAATTCAGATTTAAACACACAAATCCATCGCTCCATGAATAGGCTTTGTATTTCGACTCACTAACACGGTCACATTCTGAGTAAGATGATGTTTTGTCATGTTTTATACCCATCTATTTGCATTTAAGAGGAATTTAAATCGAGCACTGCGTCCACATCCACTCAGGCATCTCTTTAAGACGCGTTCGCAGTAAAACCAGCGTGGGGTTCGGATGATAAAAGAAGCATGTCATACAAATGCCAGCTGTCATCACTAGAGGAACTCGTTTTAAAGATCATGATCGTGGTACATGGCGGAGATCCACGCATCTGCCCGTCCTCAAAGAGGAATCAGAAGAAATGCCACCGCAGAATCGCCGATGGACACATATGAAAGGGTCGGTTAAGACACAAGAGGAATGACAAGGCAAAGGTCACCTCCAGAGAACTCAAATGTTACAGGAAGTAGGATACACATTTGTGATCTGATCAAGAACACAAAGAGGAGCAAGCATGAGAATGGATCAAATTTAATGGAGGCGATATTCCTCATCTCTAGTCAAACACTTTCCTCTGTTGGTACTGGATATACTGAACATTTACAGGATGGCACAGGGTGCAGGGGAAGCTCAGGCAGACTGCTTCTGTACTGAATTTAAGAGTCCTAGAATTATTTACACAGTAGATACAGGCACTTAAAAGTCTTTGGTTGGAGTGACCCAACATTGCAGAAAAATGCATTCACAGAGCTTTTTTTTTTTTTTTGCACCCTTCTCCTGGGTTCAGTAGGCAACATGTAGTTTTCTCACTTCCCTTTCCGATATGCTTAGGTTCAGATGTTCACCTTTGACCCTGTTTATCCCGCCGACAAGGCCACCTGTGTGAAAAACAGGCACTTTTAGTATTCAGCTAGAGCACGTTTGTAGTGAGCTGGATGACGACATTCATGAAACAAGAACAGCAACTACAGGCAGACTCATCACACAGATCCGCTTATACACCAGGTCGTACCTTTTCTGGACAAAAATCTGGGTTGTTCTGTCGAACTTTGCCAGGCCTGCCCTTGATGACTGCATAGCAGAACATTGTGATGACCATCACAAACAGGAAGTAGCTGGTGTGCATGAGGTGCAGGTTAATGAGAGAGCGATCGTCCTATCGGGAAAGAGAAGGCAATTTGTATCTGTAAATACATTCTTTTACATAAACTGTAACAGTTTAGTTCATATTCTGTATAATAATTCAAAGTGATAAAAAGTAAATATCTGTGGCCATCACTTTGAATTACAAAATCTTACAGATTATTTTTTTTTTTAATTATTGGCATCAGTCTGATTAGGGTGATACTGGAAAATATCACTGATGATGTTACAGGGACTGATAAATGCAAATCCCACTTTTCGGATTTAATAAAATAATAGGTTTTATACATATTATGGTCTGCTATTTGTGACAGTTTTTCTAAAATTAGATCCTAGATTGCAAAAATATTGCAATATATCATATCAAAACCCATGTATCGTAATGCGTATCAAATCTCCAGATTTTGGGCGATACACAGCCTGTGCAGGATAGACTGATTTTTTGATTATAACAAAAGTTTTCACTTGTGCTGCTGCTAACCTGAAGTGAATTCAGCCTCATTGATTATAAGGGAGGTTTCTGTATATAACCCATTCATAATTTGACAGTTCACGCTACAAATTGTGACAACTGTATTAAAATGCGGGACTGAATCTGAAATTGTGATGTTTGACATTAATAACCATAGCAATAAACAGGACAAAAACAAATCTCATGTCAAAATAGGTCTGTGCATTAAGTGTTGCAGTGTGAATGCAACAGACCTGACACTTATTCTGTTAACTGTAATGTGTTTCTCATTTTATTACTAACTTTTCATTAAGGATGTGCTAATTTGTCAGTCGTTTAAACAGAATTTTTGTAACCGACTAGTCTAAAAGTCAGAAACCCTCTAAAAGACTTGTGTGTATATGCATTTGAGCACTTCAATGAATGAAACGGTCAAATCCCATAATAAATGCCGCTAAATGTCACACACTTGGCGAATAAAGCTCATTCTGATTCTGAAGCTCAGTTATTTTTCCAGAGTTGAAGTGAATACGCGATGGGCATTTGCATACATTAAAACTTTGCAGTTTTATTTCTAATTCAAAATACTCCCGCGCCTTTGTCTTTTAAACATAATTTCTGTGCTCTCCGTGACATGAAGAAAACGTATCTGAAGAAAAATAAAAAGATTGAGCTCTACCTCTTAAGGTATTATTTTTCCAAGTGGTTTATTTTAATGTACGATTTAAAATGCTTTTAAACATAAATGTAACAAGGTTCAATGAGCAGTGAAGAAGGGGGAGCGGGTGAACGGTTAACGGAAGTTTTAAAATAAATAAAACTAAAGTAAATGGCAGGTGTTTTCGACTCCTGCCCATACATAGACAAAACGCAACATAAATGTGCCAGGCCTGGTCTTCTCTCGTCTTCCACAGTCGTCACTCCTCTTCTCTCTAGGAGCTCCTGGGACATTTACACTCGCGCCACCGGCCTCACTCCGTTTCCACGGCTCGTGCCCTGCTCTTCACAGTAACATTCAAACGACAGTAATTTGAACGCTAAAATCTTGTGTATTTTTTCCCCGTGTGATCGACTATTGTTTTCTGTGTCGACTAGTAGCAGCTGTACCATTTAGTCGACTAGTCTTGCACATCCCTAATATATATATTAGTACTGTACTTTCACAAAGCACTTATTCACACAATGTTCCTATTAAACACTCACATCTGGAACGATGACAGTGAGCTTGGGATTCAGTGTGTGATACACCTTCCCAATGGCACCTTTGTAACACCAGAATGGGTTGTACTCCTGTGTGTACTTCGTGTCCGAGTCTCGTGCTGTAGTGAAAATCTTGTACCAGGATGTGGCATTGCTGTAGGTCTCTGGGACACAGTGAGGCGGCTGCCTGCAGAGGATTTGCAAAACAAGGCATGAATTACTCATCCTAGATGAAGGAATCTCAAGTCAGTTTTCTTAAAAAACAAGCTTCAGTTATGTAACACCAATTTGAACTATGCTGCCCCTCTGTGTATGTTCTTTATGTTTTGCTTTGGCAGTCTGGGTCAGTTAAACACTTCATTTCTGAGTTGTTAGTTACTCAACACACAAACAAATTTACAGAGAAAATCCACAGTTGAAAGCCTACAGCAGTATTTGAGAGCACATCTTGAAGATTCAAAACACATAGTATGGGAGAGTGGGGTAAGATGTGTCAGTGGGTAAGTTGTACAACCCCATTATCTCAACAAACCGTGCACATACGTTTGAATTTAGAAAGAGCCCATAATACCAGGGTCATTATATTAACTAAAACAATTAAAAAAACATTTTCTGTCTATATTTTTGGGTAGACAGAGAAACAATTCGGTTAACAATTCATAGGTTTTCGATACGATTTTTGCAAATTCAGAACGATACAATTCGAGAGGATTCACAATGAAATTCGATTAAAGACTTGATTCTGCATTTTTAAGTGCATTCACAGGATTTATTTAAATGCTTTCCCTAATGTGTCTGAGGGTACGTTTACACGACAACGATGTACTAAAAACTTAAAAGTTTTTATAAAATAAAATATATAGAATTAGAAAAGGTTGTAAACAGTTTCATTACATTCAAATGTTGTGAATTTGTAACTTCTCTATTTTCAGTTGATAACCTGAGATACAGTAAAATGTGCAAGTAAAAAGTTGCACAACTTACCCCTACACGGCTGACCTGTAGTGTGATTTGGCACATACGCTTTCTATAGACACTTACACTGTGACTGGGAAGACATTACTGACTGCTGTGATGGTCATACAGGTGCTGAAGACCATCTGCTCACAGCGACCATGAAGAACACACTCATCTGAGTTCCAGGCTGCCGGCAGAGTGAAAGTGATGTTCATCTCTTCATGGGCCTCTCTGCCTTTAATGACACAAACACACCCACACAGAGTCAGCATGTTCTGTAAAACAAAGGGAGCTTATATGTGCCTGCAAGTGATATCTAGAAGGTATTCAGTTCCGGCCTCTCTAACACGGTTATCCCTTTTTGCACAATGGACCATTGTTTTAACTGGACTATATTCAGTCACAACACCAGCGGAAAAAATAAACACACAGCAATGACTCTGATCTATTTGAATAAAATAGACAGTCACAGAAGCTGGAGTCTGTTCAAAATCTCTAAACGTACTCAATGTAAAATGTCACTACAAATACCTCAATGACCTTCTTTCAAAAAATTTAAAATCTTACAGACCCCAAACTTTGAATGGCATTATATGTAAAATAGTACACCAAAGATGGCCAGATGGTATATTATTTTGAGTTTCAGTGTTTTCATCAATGAATGGTTTTTCAGCTAATACTGCCCACAACCCAGTGTACAACAGAAGTAGTTTGCATTGGTTCTCTTATGCGTTTCTCTTATAGAGGGAGCAGGGAAAATATATTTATAATAAATATATATTATACATAAAAATCACAAGATAAGCCACAAAGAAGGTGTCATGGCTGTTTTTAAACACATGAATCTAAAACTTAAGTACCGGTGATAATAAATTTAACTAGATGCTAGCATTCAAATGTAGAAAACAGTACACATCAACATGTTCTCTGGGTCAAAACACATACGGAAGAGATGGGTCCCTCTTATAATTTTCTCATTGTTAAATGCATACTTTGCATAGCCTGCCATTTTTTCTTTAAGACGCACATACACATCCAGACCATTTTTTTTAAAGCATTATTTTAAATAAAGAAACAAAATATATTATTGTCAAATGTCCTCTATGATTCGAGCATGTTATTAAAATAAGCTTGTTTCAATGGTCTTTCTTTCCCCACTAAAGGAGGTAAAAGGTATATTTGCATGCCTAGAAAATCAATGTACTGACTCAAACATACAGTACTTTCCTATCCTATCAAGGAGGTGCAAACTGAGTGCAGAGTAGAAATATGCAAGTTGTGAAAAACTATAAAAAAAAACCAGCTTAGGTTAAATCCCACCCCCAAAAAAACTGAGACATACCAGCAAGGCCAACCTGCTGCCCAAGCGCACTGGCATAAAGGTGGGTAATATTGCGCGAGTAGCCGCCGAATGGCCTCAGTGGATCCAGGGTCAATGTGATGGCCACTGAGATGTTGATCAGACCGAGGTCCTCCAGCAGGGCTGGCGACTGCGTGCTGGATCGCGCCTGGCTACTGGTCACTGTGCTCTCTGGTGTAATGGACTCATTCAAGCTGTGCTTGAGGGTCTCGTTTTCCGAGATGCAAAAGTCAAGCTCGTTGAATCGGAGAAGGAAGGTGTTCCAATCCTGGGGAGAAAAAAGAAATTGTACAAGTCACAAAAAAGTAAATTCAAAGTAAAGATTATCGCCAGCATTTCCTAAACAATATTTATGCAGTTTCATACCTGTATGTCTATTACAGTGTTGTTTTATTAACTAAAACTATTAAAAATTATTTTAAATAATTTAAATAAAGCTGGTATAAAAATAAAATAAACAAAAAAGTATTAGATGAAAAACTAAGTTGAAGTAAAAAAAAAATCTAAAAATTAAAACTGAATTTAAAATAAATTAAAGCTTCATATAAATATTTTTTAAGAACTAATTAAAGAAAAAAGAAAAATCACAGCTAAATTGCATTACTAAAACAAACTACAACTAAAATGAAAACAGAAAATATATAAAAAAAAGCTAATTCAAAATACATATATATTCACACATATTATATACTATTATATAAATGGTATACAGTAAATAATACTAAAATAATCACTGGTCTACTAATCATTAACTATTTTGTTCCCAAGTATTTTCAATGGGTCATGGCTCACACATTTGAGGTAAACCAAGTTATTTTCTACCTCGGTCATTTCAGGTGATTTGATCTCCTTGATCTTAAAGAAGTATCCTATAGTGAGGAAAGCAATAGCCACAGCACTGACGCTGACCATAAAAATGACCAGCGGTGGACGGTTACTTATGTAGGTCTTCAGATTCTCCAGTGGATTCAACAACAACACCTGCAAAAAGAAAAAAGTCCCACAAGCTTAGGGAAACTCTGACCTACATCAACACTGGCATTGAATGAATCTATAACATGGCAGTGAATTTCGAATTCATTTTTGTAAGAACTGGTTTGTGTTCTCAATCCTACCTGTAAGGCAAAAAGGTAGCCATGTTTGCCATCTAAGTCAATATTTGGCTCTAGCTCATTTAATTGTTCTCTCCAATGACAAAAGTTGAACTTGCTTTACAGTCATTTAGACACATGTACAGTACATTCCTAAACACCAGTCAATGGCAGAACTTGGTACAAAGTCAAAGAGGGTTAATGGTTACAAAATCAAATATTATTGCAGCCTAAGAATTATTAGAGGAGTAAAGCTCTGTAGATTAAATTGTGTGGAAAACAAACAAGACGAGATACTGTCAAATGGTTTTTAGAAAGTAAGCAGAAACTCCACACCCCACATACTAACAAACTCAAACAACGGCTAAAGCTGACAAAAATAATAAAGAGACAATACACTCAGTGAACTCTACACTCTTAGCACTTCTGTGCGGCTAAAAGTGTTCACAAATCCTGTTTTACAACCAATCAAATTAAATCCTATAAATGAAGACATTAAGCCACTATCGAGAACCCTGTTTTTTTTTGTTTTTTTCTTAAATTGTAGAAGCAAAACCGTAACATGCATTAGAAGCTAATGCTGGTTTGTGTATAATATGTGACATGTAACACTGCCTCAAGTTATCTTGAGGTGAAGCATATGTTTCCACCCTTGTATTTTGAATATGAAAATAAACTCACCAACATCCTATAATTTTTTCTTTTAAATATCAGACTGAAATTCTTTTTGTGATGTTCAGCTAAGTTAAATGGTTGTTGAACATGCATTCTTCTTCATCACATGATCTCATCAATATTTAATTCAGTGAGTTACGTGTGAATGTGTGATTATAATCTTTGGAAAAATAAATACATTTTTTAATCCCATTTTGTGAAATGTGTCAACAGCAGGCAGTCTGATCAATAATGGCATAAATATGAAATCACAACTGATATTACTTCCAATTTATTTATCACACTGCACAGTAAAAATCAAGTCAGTAAAAATAAAGGCACATGTTACTGTGCGTTCACACCGCCGGCGGCGAGAGCGTCAAAGTGGCCGGAAGTCATTCATTTTCAATGAGAGCCGGCGGCGAGCTCCGGCGAGGGCGGCGCGGCGCGTCTTGGACGGTGAGAGCGGCGAGGAGCGGCGAGAAGAAGTTGAAATCAGCTCAACTTTAGGGAAATGAGCTATGACGCGGTTCGGCGGCAGCCGGCAGCAACCAATCGGAATGTAGATGTGCTCCGTTTGAGAGGATTCCAGAGAACGCAGTCAAGTAACAAAGGTTCCGACCACATTAGTTCCCAAGCAAAATAGAGGAGAGGTTGATCATTTGAATTTCATAAGAAGGCGCGCAACACTATTTATAGGCAAGATATTCGTGCTAGAACGCTTGTTTTTCAGCGGGAATGCAAATTAGAATAGCATTTAACCATGAACACAAAAGCCACACCAAACAAATGGCTTTTAATTTGTTTATTTCGTTAGCAAACATGTCACTATAATTAAGTTCTTTCCATCGATACATTTTCTGCAAACATAACGATCGACATGCTTGTTTGCTTCGCGGCCCCTTTAAATAAAGTTTTAAAAAAGACCAAGCATTCGATCTACGTCAGAGCATCAGAGCGTCCACGAATCTTTCCACGGCGTCGCTGACAGGGCGGCGAGAGCGAATTTTGCCGCTCTCGCCGGCGGCGGTGTGAACGTACGGTTAGTTAGCTAATCTAAAATGCATATAGAGAACAGGGTTCCTCAAATCCAGTCCTGCAGATTTTTTATTATTTTAATTTCAATGCATCCCTAGTTCCAACCCTAATCAAACACACCTGAACAAGCGAGTCAAGGTCTTGAGAGTTCCTACAAAATTGCAGGTGAGTGAGTTCAATCACGGTTTGAGCTAAACTCTGCAGGACAGTGGCCCTCCATTTGAGGAGCCCTGATGTAGAATGTTAGCATTCTATGGAGGGATTATTGGGACAGATTGAAAACTAAAAGTCTAAAACTAAAAGTCTTAAACGAAAACCAAAAGTCTAAGTTTGAAACTAAAAGTCTAAGTCGAAAACTAAAAGTCTAAGTCAAAAATGAATTTGGTATTTAGGATTGGGCATTTGGTATTTAGGATTGGGCATTTGGTATTTAGGATTGGGCATTTGGTATTTAGGATTGGGCATTTGGTATTTAGGATTGGGCATTTCGTATTTAGGATTGGGCATTTGGTCATTTAGCCATTTAGGATTTAGGATTGGGCATTTAGGGATTTAGGATTGGGCATTTAATCATTTAGGCATTTAGGATTGGGCATTTGAGGATTGAGGATTGAGGAGTGTATGCAAATAAGGAGGCGTGGCCCAAATACTGGAGGCTGGGTTTGAAATGGCTGGTGCAGATGCACCTTATGGACAGCAGAGGGAGCTCCAGTCAGTCCAGTGCTAAGGAGCACACTGTAATGAAACCAAACAGAGCGAGTGAGCAGGTCTGGAGCGAGGACTGTACTTTATAATGTGATAACTTCAACTTAATGACAGCGTTGTATAGGGGTACTGGAACGGTACATGTATTCCTATTGAACCGAACCGGTAGCCTACGGGCGTCACAGTTCGGTGCACGAATTTACACGGAGAATACACGGTATAAAAATAATTAAAACTCTAAATAGCGATACATTTCGCTCTATTCGCGTTTGGTGTGAACGCAGCATAATAAACAGGCTGCGATATCAAGATTGCAATGTTGGAGTGTGTGCTGCAAAGTTCAAACTGCAAAGTGTGTATATTTGTGTACACTCGCAATAAAATACAACATTGTGCTTTTGTCACACTCTAAAATCTTGTCAAACTGTAACCTACAACTGTCACCCAACCAAAATCACACACACACACACACACTCTCTCTCTCTCTCTCACACACACACACACACACACACACCTAGTTCGTTCGCGCCCACGCCTCCCCCTCTCTCTCTCGCGCGCACACACACACTCCAGCATTGCAATCTTGATATCGCAGCCTGTTTATTATGCTGCGTTCACACCAAACGCGAGTAGAGCGAAATGTATCGCTATTTAGAGTTTTATTTATTTTTATACCGTGTATTCTCCGTGTAAATTCGTGCACCGAACTGTGACGCCCGTAGGCTACCGGTTCGGTTCAATAGGAATACATGTACCGTTCCAGTACCCCTATACAACGCTGTCATTAAGTTGAAGTTATCACATTATAAAGTACAGTCCTCGCTCCAGACCTGCTCACTCGCTCTGTTTGGTTTCATTACAGTGTGCTCCTTAGCACTGGAGCTCCCTCTGCTGTCCATACGGTGCATCTGCACCAGCCATTTCAAACCCAGCCTCCAGTATTTGGGCCACGCCTCCTTATTTGCATACACTCCTCAATCCTCAAATGCCCATCCTAAATGGCTAAATGATTAAATGCCCAATCCTAAATCCCTAAATGCCCAATCCTAAATCCTAAATGGCTAAATGACCAAATGCCCAATCCTAAATACGAAATGCCCTATCCTAAATACCAAATGCCCAATCCTAAATACCAAATGCCCAATCCTAAATACCAAATGCCCAATCCTAAATACCAAATTCATTTTTGACTTAGACTTTTAGTTTTCGACTTAGACTTTTAGTTTCAAACTTAGACTTTTGGTTTTCGTTTAAGACTTTTAGTTTTAGACTTTTAGTTTTCAATCTGTCCCAATAATCCCTCCATAGCATTCTGTCCTGTGCAGAGTTTATACACTAAAAGGCCAATTCACACTGATCAAGACGGACAATTACAGACAGTATGCTATCAGACATTCCACGACCCAACGAAAGCCAACTGAACGTGTTCAATCACAGAAAACAGGTGGGGAGCAACGGCAAGAGACCCCGACAGGTGTAACACGCTCAGCTCAGCCTGTGACCCGGAAACCGACCAAGGAAAGTCATCTCGATTCTCTAATTGCTCCACGAGGAGGCGAGGAACGAGGAGTGAGGAAGCTTCCAGAGGAGTTATGAGCGAGGATACAAAGGCGTATTCCATGCGTTAGTCTTTCTTGTGAAACCTGACGCACGTATAATAAATTCTCCTCCCCTTTCACATCTGTCACAATTATTTTAATTTAAGCTTTTCCCTTGCTGTTTAAATAAACCATACATCTTAAATATTTCAACAGGGCATCTTGATTTTAATTTTTTATTAATAATTTCTTAAATTAACCAAACCTTGACAACATACGGGGAGATCCCTCAAGCGCAGCTGATGACGCTGTGAAGTGACGCTCGAGTGATCAAGAATATTCCAATATACAAATAAGCTTTCCTTCGAATCCTCTGTTCTCATTTTCTTTCCTTGCAGCCTTCCCTCGCTTCCTACGGGGGTTGGAGCTGAGACGCGAAGAAAGGAAACGAGGATGCACAAATTACAAATGAAAAGCACCCACTGATCCGATAAAATCGTTGGTCGGAAAATGTCAGTGCAGTGTGAATTGGCTTTTGCAGCTGTTGGTTCTGTTTTTCCCATAAGGCCTTTTTTAAAAACTCTTAATTTAATAGTTATAAGCCATGAACCAAACTAGCCATCTTGAAGGTGAATCACAACATCAGAACTTTAATTTGAAGCAAAAAAGTATTTGAAAATCTGACAAAATCAAGACTGTGTACTGCTTTAATGAGGGAAAGAACTTATAATGAAGCAATCCAAATGACAATCATGGAGAAATATAAACTAGTGTATTGATTTAAAAATGTATACAGAAACAATATATTTTATGTGTATTGCAGGATATGCATATAAATATGCATGTAGTTTGAGAGCGTATGGAAACACAGTGCTTCATGGGAAATTGATAAAAAGTTCTTTTTCTGCGACATGCTTGACGCAATTCTCTGATTGGTGGAGATTTCACTGCAGAATCATGGGTAATGTCGTTATTCACTAGGGATTCCGCTATTTAACATGATTATTTAAAAAAAAAAAAAGATTGAAATAATTCAGGCTGATGTCTTCAACAGAAGCATTTAATATTGATTAACTGACTCCTAACGGTAGCTAACAATAACGTTCCCTCAGCAACAGTTATCTTATCAATACCGTATCCAGCTGAATAACAGCAGCTGTCAACAATCATACTACTTGCTAGGGGTGGGCAGATCTTCACATAAAAATATCGATCCAAATGTGTGTGTTTTTTTTACCAGTAATTTTTATTAATTTAGCACGTAATTCAGTGCGTAAAATAAGCTTCCAAGTGGAAAAATAAGCGAATGTTAGCGAATAATTGTGTATGATAGAACTATTTCTCCTAATCATCTGAAGTGGATACAAGACGAAACCAACCAATCACAGAGAGTGTTCGATGCTGGTGCTTCGCTGAGCTCACAGGCCCACAGTGCGTTTGCGTAACGAAGCCTTGCTTAGATGACAGAGAAACAATCGGCAGTTATTTCGCAATAAACAAACTAAAAGTGTACATACCGGTTCAAAATGTTGACGTAGGTAAGATTATTTTAATAAAATTAATATTTTTTGTATTCAACAAGGATCGATATATTAAATTGTTCAAAAGTGACAGTCAAAGGTTTTACACTGTTAAAAAAAAATCTATTTCATATAAATGCTGTTCTTTCAACTTTGTTCATCAAATAATTCTGCATAAAATGTATCATGGTTTCCACAAAAATATGAAACTGTTTTCAACATTGATAATAATAAGAAATGTTTCTTGAGCAGCAAATCAAATTAATTTCTTATCATGAAGGATCATGAAGACTGGAGTAATGGTGTAATGATCACAGGAATAAATTACAGGTTACTATGACAGAAAACAGATAGCCTATGTTAAATTGTAATAATATTAAAGTTTTTACTGTATTTTTGATCAAATAAATGCAAAAGAGAATTAAAACTCTTACAGACCCCAAACTTTTGAACAGTAGGTGCATTTAGTTTGAACAGTAGGTGCATTTAATAGTGCATTTAGTATAATTAAGGTAGTTTGGTAAAAGTCACTGACTAATTACAGGCGAGTTTAGAGCACAAATCACAAAATATTTAGTGGTCATGAAAACGTATTCAGATTTAGCATATTTATGCCCCGATCACACCAAACGTGTTTTTTGCAGTGAGAGGGCCTTTCTTGAATTGGTTTCCTGAAAAACGTGTTTGGTGTGATAGGGCCATTCAAATCATGACACACTGCTCAAGCACAGGAAATTACATGTAATTTCAAGTGCATGCTTTTAAAATATAAAAGTATTGGTATCGGCGATACTGGCCCTGTATGGTATTTGATCGATACCGAATTGTTCAAAGAAAAAGTTGACAAGAGTGCTGCTTTTTTAGTAAAAAAAAAAAAATAAGTTGGCAGGTTTGGTTCCAAATAGCAGCCAAGTGGTCTTTTGTTGCTATAACAACATACACACACACACACACACACACACATACATATCACATCACCAAGTGTGAACATGCCCTAAATCGATTACTTTTAGTGAATCAAAAACACTGGAACAGTTACTACAATTAATAGTTGACTAAATGAACTGCAAATTAATACTGTCATCATGTCTGGCTCATATTGTCATTCAGAACAAATTAAATATTGATCACACATTATGTATATTATTTTTAATTGACATAAGTTAGATATATGGTCAACTTCTGAATTGCATAGGCCTATGTGCTATCTCCAACTTTATGAAACGTCATTAAACAGTCTGTGTAAACTTTTACAAGAATTTCATAAATTGCATTTCTGATCTCGGACCAGAAATGATCTCAAGAATTGGCAACAGACTGATGAGGAAAGTGTTTCTTTCTTTCAAATTTACTATTTACAATAACTTACTATATATTTTTCCAAACATTTCTATCATACACGTAGTAGATGAACCGCGAATCAACCGAAATCGTTGAGAATAAATCGAAGAAAGAATAGTAGATTCCCACCCTGCCTTTCCAGACAGCACATAGGGATCTACCTGACAGAAACACACTGTTATGTTCCCTTGGCTTGTATCATATTTGCTCTTATTAGACTGCTGCTGCTGATGGCCTGAGTCTCTCGACCTCTTTAGTCGTAGTCTGCAGCACATATTGAGCTGTCAAAATCTACACGACGGTTGAGTGTCAAATCCCAATGATAATCTACCAATAGAGACAGTATTTCTGGGGTCGGTGACACACATAAATGCAGAATAGACAGTCAACTCACTAGGTTTTATTACACAGCCGACACATTTAGCTGCTTGTGTTAGCTACGAGCTTCGAAATGAATGTATCTTTGCTATTCTCACCAAAAGAGCTCAACCTGGTGATATGCAAATGGAGCAGCTACGCGGCTAACTAGTTATGCAACCATTCCCAACCACACAAATACAACATGTTAAGCAATTGACTTAAAACAAGCTGGAAATATCAAACTCACCATTTTGCCTCAGCGAGTGCGCAAGACAGCTGAGGCGGCTAACGCTAACAAACTCGAGCCTAACGGGCCTGTGCGACAAACGCACAGCTGACAGCGGTATTGGAGTACACAACGCTCCTTCCCATTATTTGCAGGTGCACTATATTCTCAAACCAGGGTTTTATATGGCCTTTACGACTACAACGAGCTGCTGGTTAACGGAAACTGACTGGAAATGTCTTCTGTGTTTAGAGACCAGTCCAGCAGCAGCACAACCAATCACGTTACTTTCACTTCTCTACGCACGCACCGATCACGCACGGCGGGGCTTAGCACAGTGCAAAGCATGTCATTGGCTTATGTAAACCTACGGAGGCTGTGATTGGTCGGTGCTCCTGTCAATCACGCTGGCCGCTGACTGGTGTTGTGAAATGTGGCGGGCGGCAATAAAATGTCATGAAGATTACTCTCAAGATGTAAAGATACCCAGAGGAACTAATGTGAAGAACATAAGTGTGCATGTGTGTGTTAATGGGCTTTCTAGAAATCTGGTGAGAGCAAGTATTTTGTTATTACGATGCTTAACGTAGCGTTGTTATTACGTTACCTCTTTTTAATAACGTTGTTGTCGATTGTGTTCTCAAACTCTGTCCAGGGAGTCATGGTGATCTTGAGAGAGGGGATCTGCCCTGGAATAAACGAGGAATTCATTAAGGCTTTACAATCAGAGGACATCAGAACAGGTGTTGACTTGGAGCATCACACTGATGCATGTAGTTTCAAATTCATCCTTATGGCACTAACAGAAATACTATAGTACTACAATGGCTTTATGGGGTTAAGCCAACTACCACAGTAATATCGCAGTAAAAATTGATTTCTACTTGTTCCTTTTTCTCTCTTTTTAATGTCAGGATCATTTACTGTGAGATTGTGTTGGGTTCTTCTTTATTGTGTTGGAAATATAAATCTGCATATTGTATAAAATTAGTAGATACCTGTAGCTATTTTCTCATCCCAAAGTGTTATTTTCCCCTATGAAACAAAATATATTTTTCAAATGAGAATGAAAATGGAAAAAAAACACACAAAAAAAACAATTTAAAATATTAATAAAACCATAATAGTATCTCAATAATACTAAAATAACACTGCTTATATGGAAAAGAGCTGCGTAAAGATTCTGTGGAATGTCATTTTCAAGAAGAAAATGGCAGGGCAGCATACGAGTTTGGAATGACATAAATAAATAATAAGACTATTCATTGAACTATTGTTGCTGCTCAATCACTACAGTTGTCCTTATGGGGATTGATAAAGTTTACTCTGTAACTGTCTGTGGTCTTGAATTAATAATACATCCGTGTTTAATTCTTTCAGTTGAGGACTTTGTCTCGTGTAACCCAGAAGAACTTGCAAAAAAGTGTTCATTGTCTTACAAGGTATGTGGAATGACTGTTTTTTTTTTGTGTGTGTAACGCCTATTCAGGCCTCACCTTTATTTACCATTATCTATCACAAAGACAGTATAACTAAACTAAACTAAGCCAAGTTAACTAACTAAATACTGCCCTATCTTCCAGGCTCTAGTAGCTGTTCGGCGTGTGCTCTTGGCTCAGTGCGCTGCTTTTCCTGTCTCTGGAGCTGATCTCTATGAAGAGCTCTTGAGCTCCACAGCTATTCTGTCCACCGGCAGTCCCAGGTCCCAAATATATATATATATATATATGTGGAGGATTCGTAATATAATATAATAAATAGTTTGTATATACGCTACAGTTTAAAAGTTTGGGGTCACTATGATTTTATTAAATTTTTTTGAAAGAAAGAAATGAATACGTTTATTCAGCAATGACGCATTAAATTGCTCAAAAGTGACATTTAAAATGTTACACAATATTTTTATTTCATGCTGTTGTATTTCTATTAATGCTGTTGCAGTTTCCACAAAATTATAAAGCAGCACAACTGTTTTCAACACTGATAATAATAAGAAATGTTTCTTAAGCATCATATCAGCATATTCTAATGATTTCTGAAGGATTATGTGACTCTAAAGACTGGAGTAATGATGCTGAAAGTTCAGCTATACCATCATAGGAATAAATTACATCTTAAAATATATTCTAATAGAAAACAGTTCTTTTAAATTGTAACAATATTTCATAATCCGTTTTAGGGAAAGTTACTTTTAAAAGTAATGCATTACAATATTGCGTTACTCCCTAAAAAAGTAACTAATTGTGCTACTTAGTTACTTTTTATGGAAAGTAATGAGTTGCGTTACTTTTCCTCACCTGGGCTCAGCGGCTTGCTTGTTTGTTTTTTAATAACAAAAAAGTTTAGGCAAATGTAAAGGCCCTTTCACACCAAAAAGGAAATCAATAAGCCTAAGGCTGAAGGAAATGCAAATTCACGGCTGTACAGTTAAACGCCACAGCTCAAATAAACCTTTCAGCTGTGCTGCCATTTTGCAGAAGAATAGGATGCAGGAGAAGAAAGTTCAACACTCTTACTTAAAAATGAAACGCAAATGTGATCTTTATCTAAAGTAATTTTTGCTTTAATAGTATGGTTGAATTAGATCATCGAAGGTCAGCAGCAAAGACATTGGTTAATAAAGTGAAGTATATTTGTATTATTTAACATATTTAATTAATGCCAGTTTGCATAATATTCAGAGTTAGCATATTACTGTTTTTATTCATTTTGAGGAATATAGTTTTTTTTTGTGTGTAAGTGAGATGAGTGCTCTCATTTAGTCTAGAACTACAATAACCACCATGTTCACACAGCGCACACAACGCCTGGGGACAGGAGAGGTGTCAGTCATTAAAAGGAAAAACAAAGTAACTTGAGTTACTTGTTTGAAAAAGTAACTCAAATATGTTGATGTAAGTTTAAAAGTAATGTGATACTTGAAAAAAGTAATCTGATTACGTAACTCAAGTTACTTGTAATGCGTTACCTCCAACATTGTTCATAATTTGACTGATTTTCCTATTTTTTGATCCAATAAATGCAGCCTTGGTGAGCTAAGAAAAAAACATGAAAAACCCTACCTCAAATTTATTAATGGTAGTGTAGGTATTTTGTATTAAGTCTCTGTAATTTGTATTTTGTATTAAATCTGTGCTGTCTTCTCTTCAGTTTGGATAAGCTGTTAGATTCTGGGCTGTACACTGGGGAAATAACTGAGCTGATAGGAAGTCCAGGGAGCGGGAAAACACAGGTGACCTTTTGTTCTGGAAACTCTTCTCAGTGTCTCAATGTCAAAGTCCACCATGCTTGTGTTACCTACTAGGGCTGGGTGGGCAAACGAGTGGGTGTTCAACGATGCTCTGTTTCTCTCAATCACTTTGTAGGTGTGTTTTAGTGTTGCGGTTAATATGTCCCACCAGCTGAAGCAGACTGTGTTTTACATTGACACAAGGGGTGGTGTGTGTGCCAACCGACTGCTTCAGATGCTACAAACCAGGACCCCTAATATGGAGGAGCAGGTGATCAAAGTCTAATTTATTAGTAGTGCTTGCTAAGGCAAGTATCACTCTATGATCAATATTCCGGATCAATAGCATTTGTGTCAATGTTAAATTTCCTCTTGTCCCTTCTTTTATTAAAAAAAAGAGCAAAAATCTGGGTTACAGCGAGACGCTTACCATGGAAGTTAATGGGGCTAAACCATAAATCTTTAGCCACATAATGTTAATATGATTTTAGTGTAAAAAAAATCACTTCGTAACCATTTACGTCTAATTTTATATCCAATTTTTCAACACCATAAACGACTGTAAAATTGATTTAAACAACATAATACAGAAGTTAACAATGGAAGTGCTTTTAGAAAATTTAAGCTTCACATTTTAATTCTCCAAAATTCACTTGCATTTGACCAATTTACTTTTATTGTAAGTGCCTCACTGTAACTTCCATTGTTACTTTTTTTATAATAGTATGTTCGTCAATTTTTTTTTTTTTTTTAGTGGAAATCAACATTATTCCACAAATGCCGTCAAGCTTATTTTGTACTGAACCAGAATATGAATCTAAACTTTACTGTCTTGTATCGTAACTTGAAAGGTGCTACAGATATTGCTTTTCCTTTTCAATACATAGATGGATGCACTTAAAAAAATCAAGGTGTTCAGAGTATTTGACGTCTTCTCTTTGCTCGCATGTCTTCAAAATCTAAGATCGAATGGCCTTCAGAAGGTAGGTTCTGTTCTGTGTGAAAGTCCATTGATAGAAGTGGTTGTTTGTAGTAAACTCTTGAATGTGCCCAGGCGTCTGTTGGAGGCGGTTCAGTCAAAGCGCTGATGGTGGATTCAGTCTCTGCTGTGCTCTCATCCATGCTCGGAGGGAAACAAAATGAGGGTATTTGTTTACAGTATTGCACAATACTTTATCATAATATCGTGCATCAGAAGTCAGTTCTGCTACTTTGCATCAGGTATGTCCCTGCTAATGCAAGTTGCTGGGGAGATGAAGATGATCGCCAAAGACTTCAACATTGCTGTGCTGGTATACACCTTTCTATTTCCTGTTTATATATATATATATTTAATATATTAATATTAACTATATTAAATATTTAATTCTTTTTGTGAATGAGAATACAATTATTATCTGTTTTGTAAATGCATGTTATAGATCTTAATGTGAATGAATCATACATGTGTATATATAAGCATTTTTTTATACCTTGCACTGTTATAATCAAAATGTCGTAACTTGATCTTACGGTAAAAACGGGAAGATCTCCAATGATTTAGTCCACTTTTCTTACAATTGGCTCCACCAATTAACAACTGATTGAAAGAACCAAGTCCCCATCCTATTTTTTTCCTTTTTCGATAATCCGTTTGACTCGGATCGGATGTACGTCACAATATGGAAAAAAATATCTGTCGCGACTTTAAGAGCCAGTATTTAGAAATGTCTGGAAAAGTCAAGGAAATCCATCCCACAGTGACTAGTTTATGACCAATTATCAAAATGTCCTTTGTAGTAGATACTGAAATGGTGAAATCTTGCATTGAAGGTGACAAACCATGTGACCAAAGATGGAAATGGGCATTTGAAGGCTGGACTAGGCCAGTCGTGGAGCCATGTGCCACGCACACGTGTACTCCTGCAGAGAGTGGAGAACGCAGAGACTCCGTCCTTACGAACCGCAACTCTGACCAAATCATCACGACAGGTGGTTTTAGGATAAATTGTCTAGATCAGGGGTTCCCAACCCTGCTCCTCAAGGGCTACCATCCTGTAGAGTTTAGCTCCAACCCTAATCCAACACACCTGAACCAGCTATTCAGTAGGGGTGTAATGTTCTCGGTTATTTTTTTAAAATCGAACCATACTGTTCTCCATACACTTGCAATCTGATGCCTCGTCTATAATATGGTTTGTTGAAAATAACGCATTAAACAGACAGACGTAGTTTGCATAATGTATGTTTTGTTCAATGGATACACATTTTGGGTCCCCAATACATTACAAGAGTAATGATTTTTTTTTTTTTTTTGTGGACAAAACAGTCGCTCTTTGTAAACTGTTCAATAGGAGTGTCATATGCTGTAAAATAACCAGTCATGTACGCTGTCATCACCCTGGTGTTGATAGCGCACGAGCGCAGGTGAGACCTGAACAGTACACGTTGCTAAATTAAGTCTTGCCAATTTAAACATTCCTAAAACCGAACCGTGAGTAATTTGAACAGTTAAGACTCCTACTATTCAGGGTATAGCAGGTAAGTGTGTTGGAGCAGGGTTGGAACTGAAGTCTGCAGGTAGGTAGCCATTCTTAAAAAATCTAGACTCAATAAAATCTTTCCTGAGTGGGTAAAGATTGCCACAATTTACTGTTTGTTTGCTTTTTTAAATCTTTAGGCTTGTCGTCTGGTAGAGGAGTTTGATCTTTGTCACTGGTCTGAAGAGAGGAGCACCTCCATTTCAGGCAAGAGGAAACTAGAAAGCAGTAAACCTTGACAGAAGTTCCACTCAGTGTTTTCATAGACGATACAAACGGCCGTCCTTCTTTTGATTTCAAAGACTAAGAGGAATATTTAGAGTCAGTGTAAATAAATATGTATATTATTTCTATGGACTTTTTTTCTTTGACGAGTGATAAGGAACATTTGTGTCTTTGTACTTTTATTTTATGCGTTTACTGAGGTCACAAAGGCCTTGCAATCTTTTTTTTATTAAAATCTTTTACATAATGTTGGCACCTTAATATTTTCTAAATGATGAATGGAGCAATGAGTAACTTAAATAGATGTTTTCCTCAGTACCAACTGTACAAATAAAAAACTTTCAATTACATTTTTCTTTGCATTATGCTATCTCACCTCTATGTGTCAGTATAAGCCCATAAATGACTGAATGCACCTTACTGATTAGACAAGAAAAAACACAATTCTGAAAATTAATGTTGTGCTTTACAGACACAATTACTCATAACTGCGGTTCCCTATTGTGTGCGAGACTGCCTCGATTCAAGCACAAATCAGTTTCTTTGTGCATAAAAAGCTCGTTTTAATTAGAATGATTGGAGCGTTTAAAATTACACGTAACTACCATTACTAAGCTAGAGGGCTCTTGCCCAATTTACTCTACACAATTATCCATTCCACAATCATGCCTCATGGCTGTTACTATTGTATTATTAATCACTCGTCCTGTGCCCAAGAGCATTCTTCAAACAAACATCCTTGTCAAAACAGATAAATGACACTGTATAATGATGAAGTCATCAAAATCATTACACTTATTGACCTCCTTGAAGAATATGCTTAAGAAATGAGTGTCAGCATTAGTCAATGACACCAAAATAAAGTTTAAAAATTATAAATATCCATAGTGAGAAATATCTCGATGTCCAAACCAACATAAACGTGAAAAGCTAAAGTTTTTTAGTACAACACGTGTAATACCACAATGTGGTAAAGCTAACAAAAAAAATCATTTGGAGACATGGTTTAGAAAAAGTTCATTCAACTTGGTCTGCCATAATTGTAGCTGCAGGTCTGGTGAAACAGGCAGTTTTTCCAATGACATTGCTTGTTAGAGAACAGCAAACCTGAGGTTTGTGCTAGTGTCCTTTGAGCAGTCTCTTTATCTCGTTCAGCAGGGGGGAACCACCCTCCTCTTGCGGATGCATTCCCAGATCCAGTTGGAGGTGACCCTCTGGGCTGAACTGTCATCCTCTGGCTCTTCCAGTGTATGTGTGGCTGAACCAGAGTCATACTGAGGCACCAGATCACCATCGTACGCTAGGAAGTAACGTTGAAGCTTCTCAAAGTCCTGTACTGACTCTGGGAGGTAGAGCTTCACACCTGTGAAAATATCCAGTAGTGTCTGCAGGAAGATGGCAAGGGTGAAAACGTCTTAAGTGTGCACATTGCTGCTTACACACATTGAGGGAATCAATCAACTTACAAATGGCTATGTATAGTTAAGCTGAGATAGAAGGAAAATATTTTAACAGCAAAATTCAGCTTCAAAAGGTCAGTTAACTGAAAAATTCTAATTTACTCACCCTCAAGTCATTCCAAACCTATATGACACTTTCTTATGCAGAACACTAATGGAGTTACTTTGAAAAATGTCCATGCAATGAAAGTCAATCGGGGGTCCAATGTGGTTTTGGACCCCATTGACTTTCATTGCATGGACAAAAATTTAAAACAGCTTTCATACTTTTTCAAATGAACTGCACTAACAGAGCAATCTCACCAGAGTTTGTTTTAATTGAACCAAACTAGCCAAGTGTGAACAAACCTTAAGTATAAAGTTCCAAAGCAAGCACAAGAGGTAAAACAAACCTTTTCATTCTTTGGGTCGGTTGTTTGAATCGACTTTAATTTGCTTTGTCCGTTGCTGTGAGCAGGTTCTTTTTTTATCTGAAAGAAAGCAATATCACAGGGTTTGAGGAGAGAGATGAACCAAAAACGGATATGAACATGACAATACAGACTAAACTTGTGTTCAGAAAACACACTTTACCATTTAAAAGTTAGGGTCAGTAAGATTGTTTTTAATAAATAAATACTATTCAGCACGTTTGCATTAACCTGATGTCAGTAAAGACTTTTACAATGTTACAAAATATTTCCATTTCAAATAAATGCTGTTCCTTTGAACTTTCTATTCATTAAAGAATCCTGTAACAAATATTACGCAGCACAAATATGCCATCAAATCAGCATATTAGAATGATTTCTGAAGGATCATGTGACTGAAAACTGGAGTAATGATGTTGAAAATTCAGCTTTGCCATCACAGAAATAAATTACATTTTAAAAGAATAATTTTTCACAATATTAAACTTTTTACTGTATTTTTGTTCAAATAAATGCAGACTTGAGCATTAGAGACTTTTTTTTACCGACCACAAACTTTTCAACGGTAGTGTGTGGATATGTATGACAAACCTTCTTGGCATCTTGTTTCTCTGTGGGTAGTTTCCTCTTAACTGCGGGAGAGGATGATTCTGTTTTCACTGCTTTTGCTTTGGGGGTATGACCGTTTTCTGAACAGTTGAAACAATTACAGAACATAAGAGCTTTTTTAATGGTACTTATATGATGCAGATGACACACTTGACAGCTATAGACCAAACAGGATCTGTTCGTGCAAACGCTTACTGGGCTTGTTAGCTGTGGAAGCTCCATGAGATGTCGAGGGAGAGCTTCCTCCACTCTCGCCTCCTGAGGAGCTCTTGTCATTTTTGCTAGGTTTGGACGGACCAGCTGTCACCTCAAAATCACAGTTCTCCTTCGAGATTCGATACAGCTCCTGCACACACACACAAAAAAGTTGGCATGAAATGGAAGTTGCGACAGTCTTTTCTTCTATATTGCGTATATTCTATATACCCGAGTGAAATGGCTTCTTGAACAAGAAAAAAAAACGTAGGGCATGGAGTTGATTATGTAAATCGGGAATTGATTGGATGGTTGTGGTTTGATATTGCTGTGATGTGAGTGACAGGTTGTCCTGCCCTTGATCCAGTAAACACGTCATCAGAGAAAAGATGTTGCATGTAGGGGGGGAAGATATTTTAACTATAAAGTTATTATAATAAATACTGCAGAATTCCATAAAAAAAAACAATTGTGATATGGTGATATTTTGTATATCATTTACAAAACAACTTGATACTTTGCATAAAAAAAATCATTTTTAACATTTATTTTAAGTTGTGATTAAACGTGTTTCGACTCATCAGTTGTTGATTGGATGACATGTGGGCGTTGGACTCAAAACTGAATGCGCGATGGCTACCGATTTTTGAGGGGCGGGGTTTAAGCAAACTAAATGTTTGGAGAAGTCCGACACGCGCCACTTGAGAAAAATCTGTTGGTTCACTGGAAGATCAATTTATGATATTGATTAAACATTCTGAGGTCCAAAAAAAAAAAAAAGGAAGCCTACATTCACATTCAGATCATGCATTTACAAAATTAATGAGGCCAATTTTCATTTCATGCTGATTTTAAGAACATATTTTCATAATTTTGTACATGCCAGGAAAAGCTTGCTCTGAAATTATACACACGTCATATCTTTTGAGACGCTTGATGGCACATTCTGCAGTTCTTAATTGCATCTCTATGCAAAATGCTTACAGATATGCAAATTCCATTTTACAATCAAAGGTACCTTAAGCTGCTGAAGGTTAGTGGCTGTCTTCCAGTCCTTGTCGTCACGCATTCGAGTGCATCGTGGGAAGCGGATGGATATGCCATCCGCTGTGTGCATTTCTGATTTGGAAAACTCTGCTCCAGTTATTTCCCACACTGGCGCTTTCTGTAAGCATGAACACACAGGATATATTCTTCCTCAGTCATACACACAATACAAACTTCTACAGTTTCAGTTCAGTGCAAATATCTTAAACATTTGAGTGTTTTATGGTCCATTTAACACATTCATCTGAGTTAAAGAGATAACAAGCTAATAAAGTTCCTTCATTGCGGTTTTTCCCAACCATATACTCACTGTAACCAGGCTTTTAACAGTCTCATCAAGCTCATTTCACATTACAAGCACATTAACATTAAGCATCTCTTTAGTTGTATTTGGAAGAGGATTGGCTCAGTCTTACTTCTGGATCACGGATAATGAAATCAGGGTAATAGTTTTTGACAATCTTCAACCATCCTGGGATCTTGCTTGGATCCTAATGGCGAGATGAACAGGAAACGTACGTCATGCAACTTTCATAAAACTGATATGGCAATGTAGGCAGAATAAAATCTACCGAGTAAGTCATGAGATTTACCTTGCCTATTTTGATAACGTCCAACTCCTTCTGCAGTCTGGCTAACGTGGCGTCATCATAGCCTCCCGAACACTTGGTCACAGTGCACCACTTTCTGGATTCTGGGTCATAGCAGCCCATGAGGAAACTGGACATAATTCCACCTGTGTGGCAGACAGAAACATAATATTTCAAAATTGTTCTACACTAGCATCTCTGAAGTTTAATTATTGTTTAAAACCATTGTGATTCGACTGCTGATACTGACCATTTGAGCCTTTGCCATAGAAAGCTCCAAGCACCACAAGGTCAGCGGTGTCCGCCATTGCTCCTTCATTCAGATAGTCTTTCTTCACCTTCAACCAGTGACGCTTTCCTGGTTCATATTGCCCCTGAAACAGCAATAAAGCCCAGATGTAGCATGAATTAATCTAGCAAACACAAATGTATTAATTCATAATTTGTGACATTTATATAGTCCTTTTCTGGGTACTCAAAGCGCTATACATATGGAAGGGGGACTCTCCTCAACCACCACCAATGTGCAGCATCCACCTGGATGATGCGACGGCAGCCATATTGTGCCAGAATGGTAAATGGACTGCATTTATATAGCGCTTTCACAGACCCAATGGCCACCAACGCGCTTTACATTTTGCCTCACATTCACCCATTCACTCACTCATTCATACACCGACGCATGCCCACCACACCAGCTTATTGGTGGAGAGTAGACAGAGTGATGAAGCCAATCAGTATACAGTATATGGGGATCATTAGGAGGCCATGATGATGGACAGAGGGCAATAGACAAAATTTGTCCAGGATGCGCAGGTTAAACCCCTACTCTTTTTCAAAGGACATCCTGGGATTTTGAATGACCAGAGAGTCAGGACCTCAGTTTAACGTCTCATCAGAAGGATGGTGCTTTTTGACAATATAGTGTTCGGGCGTTAGGACCCACACAGACCTGAGAGCAATAAGCTGTCAGAATCCTTGGGTTTTGGGCATTACGATCTTGGGCTCATCATACTATATACTAAGCACACAACATTAACGCTTGTCCGGGACAAGTGGATTGTTTTGAATTGGTTAAAGCTTAAAACTCCTGATTAAAACTTCAGTAACAAAAAAAACAATAAACAAGTGATAAACCAAACCACGAGAATGATTCTGATTTTATTACATTCTCTATTACAATGAATCAGCCATTTGAACAAATGGCTCAATGACTCACTCATTAAGATGGTCACTTGGCAGGCGCCACTTATTGGTGGTTTAGTTTCATGTTTAAAGTATCAGTGAGAATGGAACAGACGGGAGCAGATTTGTCTCGGTGTGTAAAGGCCTTCAAACGTACACCATGAAGGTTATAGCAAACCATTTCAAGTGCTTTAAGAGGTAGCATACTGTGCAGTTTGCAGTACGCTAGTATTAGATTCGAAACATAGCCAGGCTGTACCTTGAGATCCTTCAGAACCAACCCCTCCAATCCCTCTCTGATGACACGTGTGATCATTTCTGCCAGGTCAGCAGCTCTCTGTTGGAACACAATGTCATTAGCCATAATAAAAACATCCACCCTGAAGTCTTACTATAACATCAACCGTTAATTAACTTGACCTACCTACATATTTGTAAACATTCTAGAATATTGAGGACATGCAAGATGGGTAGAGAAAGGAAAACATGTACAATAACACTGCAGAACTGACCGTGACATGCTTCATTTCTGAGAACAGAATCCTGTTAGGAACTTCCACCATATTGTCATGGAGAAACTTTCTTCTTTCACAGAGAGGTCTGGAAAACATCACCACATCAATGTCTTAGATTGAAAATATCAATCAACCTTTAATATAAATGTTATATTGTCCTATAAAACCTAAAATAACTTTCAGATAAATGATAAATAAATGTATTCCTCTAGGTTAACTCACTTGTCCATGAGACTGACACCATTAAAATAAATGCAGTCGAACACGAACAGACCCACTTGAGCATCCTGGAAAGCTGCTTTCTGGAAACACACAAAACCAAAACAATGCTCTTAGTTCAGATGACGTTTAAAAGTTGTTGTTTAAGGAATTAATAATTTTATTCGGCAAGGATGCATTCAATTTCTCAAAAGTGACCGCAAATACATTTATAATGTTACAAAAGATTTCCGTTTCATACAAATGCTGTTCTTTTGAACACTATTTATATATATAAAAGTTGATTTCCTTTTATCAGTTCCACAAAAAATATTAAGCAGCCCAACGGTTTTCGTCATTGACAATAATAAATATTTTTTGAGCAGCAAATCAGCATTTTAGAATGATTTCTGAAGAATCATGTGACACTGAAGACTGGAGTAATGATGCTGAAAATGTAGCTTTACCATCACAGGAATAAATTACATTTTAAATATTTTATTGCTACTGTGTAAAGGGAATACTGCTGGTATAAAGCACCTTATTTGTTTAAAGTTTTTGCAAACCACATGTTATTGCACTTTTGTGTATAGCAGTATATTTAAATCAAAAGTGCGCAATACACTACTTTAGAATTCATTATTCACTCTTGCGCGTAACAATGTGATTAATCGCAATAAATTCATGCAATTAATCGCGATTAAAAATTTTAACCGTTGCCCAGCACTATATATTAAAAAAGAAATATTTTAAAATGTAATAATTTCCTAATATTTTTCTATAATTTTGATCAAATAAAGGCAGCCTTGGTGAGCATAAAAGCGCAACCAAACTTTCGAATGGTAGTGTATTTGAAATATTCTTTTATGCCTGCTACAGACGATTTCAGCAATCCTATAAGATCATTACAAATCACACTGTACAACATGGATCTAATAAACTTGGGTACAACATGTATATCCCTTTGGAAATTGTGTTTTTAATGAGCGCTGAAAAAAAAAAGGAAACTAAAGAGAAGAATATAAACGTGGTCATAGTTAGGGAAAAGAGGCCAACTTGGCATTCCAATTTTGTAAATTAATTTTACCCCAAATCGTACAATGTGCACCGGGGCATTAGGTACACTAAAACAGCATTGCTCTCCTTGTGTGCTCTCCTTTACCTTGTGTACTCCAAGAGTCCCAAATGGCAGTGGTTTGCTAGACTGGGTATCAATAAGAAGAACTTCAGCATCAAGGATCATGCTATGGCCACCAGGAAATGCCTGCGGTATGAACTCTTTAAAATGAGCAACCTGCAGGAGAAAAATCAAATAAATCTTTGAATTTAAACACACACATCTCTATATTATATATTATGGCTAACAGTTGCTGGAGGTCCTGACCTTGTGAGGAAGTACTGGTTTGAGACTTCGACTGAAGTAACTAAAGTGATCGCCATTCTTATGGACCTGCACACGCTCACCATCATACTTGATCTCAGAGTACATCCCATTAGGACACTTCTTCATGGCATACTCAATGGACTTACATGCCTCTGCCTACAAGAATAAAAACAAGAAGTAGAGATACCATTAAGAAAACCTTAGTAAATAGGCCTAACAAAAATTTTAAACAAATTAGGCATAATGTTTTATTACCATTTCTTAAATATATTTAGACAAAATATCTTTACTGCTTATTAATAACCTACAGACTAGTCCAATCATTATTTAGTTTTAGACATTATGAAAACTTAATATTGATACTTAATATTGAATGTAATCTGTAGATGAAGACCATGGAATTTAAGAGATAGTTGACTCAAAATTCTCGTGTTGTTCCAAACTTGTATGACTGTGGAACTTAGAAGATATTCTGAGAAATGTCTCAATTTTGTTTTGTCCAAAAAAAATGTTAGGTCATACATGATTAGAACAACATAAGGAGTAAATTATGACAGAAATGTTTAGGGCTGCCCCCGACTAAAGATTTTTCTAGTCAACTAGTAGTCGTTCATTAAAGCCATGAACGTTTGGATTTCCTGCCCACCATACTGCAATTACCACAATGACACGCCTATAACAATCTGTACTGCATGACTTCGCCACAAGTTTTTTTTTTTTTCGGCTAACCGACTAATAAATTTAGACTAACGTTTAGTCAACTATTAGGGGGCAGCCCTAGAAATGTTCTGTTTTGGTGAACTATCGGTTTAAGAGCACTAGAGACTCAGACCAGCATTGGCTGTACGGGGGTCATCAGAGACGCCTCCACACTAAGGATCTTTCGGGGCCCTGTTCCATTAGAGGCGTCCTGCTGGTTCCGTAGCACCCTGTCGATTACGTCACCAAGGTTACGGGAGGCTTTGAAGGCATCATATGCGTTAGGGTCCACAGCATCCAAACTGATGAGATAAAAGTTACACTGAGTGAGACAGAACAGAGACGATGCAGTTATGTACAATTTGCCAGCAACACTTACACGTGCTTAGCCCCCGAGTTAATTTTCAGATCATGTTTGACCAAACGAATGTAACACTTCAGATCATTTCCGGTACATCTGGGAATAAAGAAACACATTTAAAAGTTAGCATCCTCAAAATTCAAACAAATGTAAAACATTATTTTTTTTAACCCTCTGGTACTGATCGCGTGTCAGTCAAAAATGACCGCATTTTTTTTTTTCAATGAAATGATTGTACTATATTTTATTTCAATAATGTTTTTTTTATTACTATTTTGTATTTTTAGGGAATTTTATGGTACTAAATTAATTTATGCAGTAGTTAAATCCATTTATGGCCCTGAAAATGAAATTTCCAACTTAAACTGTCGTAAATCTTGAATGCTTTGGAGCACAAACAAGTTTGGTCTCTTTTTAAAGATGACAATTGGCAGATTATTGCTGAAGTGAAAAGTTTAAAAATATATATATAACTTGAAAAAAGTTCAGTTATTGTTATGAAAAATGCACAAAAATACCATTTTCAGTTTTTATATGAAATATGTATTTTCCAAAACACGTTTAACTCTAAAACTGTGATACAATCTAAACAAAGCCATAAATCTAAACAAGCTGTGTTCCAAATTTGAAGTTGATATTTCAAAAAATTAGCTTTTAGTAAGTATTTGTTTGCGCGCAGTACCAAACATTTGCAATGGATGAAATTAGTCTCCCATTAATTTCCAAAGCAGTAATTTTTGACTGTGAACAACAATACAAGTTTTACAATACATTTTGTATTCAGGACAATTTAACCTTTTCGAATCATGCCTATGATTTGTTGTGTGTGTGTGTGTGTGTGTGTGTGTGTACACATCAAGTGCTAAAACCTTTACCAAGTTTTGTACCATTATGATGAAGTAAAGAATTCTTAAAAAAACAAAAAAGTAACTATTTTTTCACAGCACCAGAGGTTTAAATAAGCATTTTATATAATCAAAGATTAAATTATTTCTGACTTTTTAGCAATGTCCTGCAGCTCTGTCTGCTGATCATCCTCCTTTGTGAGTTGGGCCAGACGGCACAGTGAGGCATCCACCTCCTGGATGGTCAAAAGACTCTTGGCTGCGGGAGGGAAAGACTTGCTGTCCTCAAAAAACATCCGCACTGTCTCTGAAACATCTCCCTATATGAAAACGATTAAGATCAAAGAAGGAAAGGCTCAAATATTTCTCTTCTTGGACTACTTTTGTAAAAGAAATATGCAACAAACCTGTTCCAAGTCTTGCACCATCTCATCCTGACTGCAATTCAATATGCGGCTGAAAAGCTTGACAATTTGTTTGTCATTGAGGTTGTACACATTTTTAACCACTCCTGGGAGGAGAAGCTTCAGCGTCAAGTACAAATCTCCTCTGAATTTGTCTGTGAAGATGTGGGAGGGAGATTAACAGAGATCACTTTGAGACTGCTTGTGTTAATGATGGCCCAGATTATTCATGCTCACCTCCACCAGAGCCCTTTGTTAAGAAGTCTCTGATGATCTCGGTTTTGGCGTTGTAGCCTGACTTCTCTGCGACTAAGGCACAGAGTTTGCGGAACTCCCGCAGTAAGTTGTCTTTATGGTTGGGGTCACATAGTTGAGCTGATAAAGCACTGCCCTGAGTGGGTTTGGCTGGAGACGGTCCAGGACTGGAGGAAGAGGAACCGGCCTTGGTAGCTGTGGACAGAGAGTGTTAAGCCTTGTATTAAAATGGCAGAGCATGACAGCATGAAATGATAGATCGCTTTATACATCTATATCACTGGTTCAAAATGAACATTGGCCCAGTGGCAAGAAAAAATTGTCAACAGATGTATTTTCCAGCTGGCAAATCACTTTATAATATAAAATAGTAAGAATGATAATAATGACCCTCATCCATGTAAATTCAAATCAATACATGCTAAAGCCGGAGTTTTTAAATCTCAACCGATTGTGAAATCTGGTTCAATCATGCACATAAGGAGAATCTTCACAGATTTTCTTCTTTCAAATCTCAAACCTACACACACTACAAGATTTTAGAAACACGGCGCATCACACACTACAAGATATTCTTAAGATTATCATGCCAGATTTAGCAACTCGCGTGATCTCACGGGGAGGTGGATGTCAACTAAATATATACAGTGTCGCAGCAACTTGCTGGAGACATTATATGAGGAGACATTATAAAGGCAGTCCTGTTGTTGCCACAATTCGACCAGCCGTTCCTCCATCCTCATTGTCCACCGGACACGTACAGCTGCTTGTGTCACAGTCGCCATTTCAAAGTTCCGTCACTTCCGTCTCCTTGTAGACTTGTCTCTCATTGGCGGTTGTGGAAGTACTGATGTTATCATAGTTGTAATCATCCCAAATTAAAATCATAAATATCAAACATGTTTGATATTGTCGGGGCGGCCCCGATGAGTCCTCGGCAGATGTGGAGGTTTAAAATTTCAATCTGTAAACGCCTCGCATTACCAGATAATCTGGGCTGGAAATCAGAACCAACAGACGCTCTGGATTTGATTTTTTTCTCCAAATGTCGGGAGGGTTAAATCGGGCATAAAATGGCCTAAAATTCCTGTAGTTTGAACCCGGGTTAACTGTCTACATTCAGTTTTACTGCCAGTAAGAAAAAATTATGGCTGGTAAAATCTCAACCTATTTGTGTGGGAAAAAATTAATTTTTGATTCTGTAGATCATGTTTAAATCTCTATTGTCTTTACAACAATCAAGTTACATTACAATTCAAAAGTTGGGCATCGGTGAGATCATTTCTGGGGGAGCAAGGATGCATTAAATTAATCAAAAGTGACAGTGAAGACTTGTACATTGTTACAATAGATTTCTATTTTAAATAAATGCTATTAAACTTTCTATTCATCAAATAACCCTGAAAAAAAATGTATCATGGTTTTCACAAAAATATTAGGCAGCACAACTTTGTTAAACATTGATAAGAAATGTTTCTTTTTCACCAAATTGGCATACCGGTAATTAGAATGACTTCAGAAGGATCATGTGACACTGAAGAATGGGGTAAAGGTGCTAAAAAAATTCAGCTTTGTCATCACAGGAATAAATTATATTTTAAAATAGAAAACCCAATAGTTATATTTTACAATATTGCTGTTTTTTCTGTATTTGATTAAATACAATTACATTAAACATGAAATAAAAGCAGCCTTGTTACGCATAAGAGACTTCTTTTAAAAACATTAAATAAACTGACCCCATATATTTGAACTGTAATATATCTTAAGATACCCATGCCCTCTTGGTGTTGTACCTGTGAAGCCAGAAAACTTGCGAGGAGCGTTGACTGTTGGATCAGCTAGCGGTGCTGACAGCTGCCCACTGTTGTTTAACTTAGCTTGCACTTTCTTCTTTGGGCTTGCATTGGTTTTGGCTGCCAGTTCTATTAAAGAGAAGAGAGACTGTTCAGCATATGTCAGGTCTCCAGTGGCATCTGATGCAAACTAAACAAGGAGAGCAAAACAAGGGGAACAGTGGCCGAATACCTGAAACGTGTTTATTGATTAGTTCTTTATCCTCATCCTGAAGTTCCTCCCATCCCTCCAGCTCTGTGATGTCCTCGATTTTCTTTGTGGTGGCGCGCGCTTTCTCCAGCTTCTCAAAGATGCACTTTACATGGTACCACTCCTTCATTTCCCCTGCAGACTCACTGAACGGGTTCGGCACAATCTTACCAATCCGGACCAGCCCCTTCATGATCTTGTCTTTGCATTTCTTGCACCCAGCCGTGCCACGTTTGGCATATTCCACGCAGTATCTCTGCTCTGCCATGTCTGGTTGTTCAAGTTGCCACTTAGGCCAAGAAACACGGAAATATGAGCCGGTGCTGAGAGTGAACTGTCGAATTTGTGGCACACAGAAAAAGACGCCACTGGGGCTAGATGCAAATCCCCACGGAAACGTGAGAGCTCTCGAGCACTGGAGATATTGACTATTTAGTGTTGCTCTGAATAATGTTTCCCTAAAAAGTTTTGGCAAAGATGATCTGCTTAGTGTTCTCACTATCCCGCCAAACCAAAAACTGGGCATAAAGTTCAAAAATAGAGAGTTTTCATCTTACACAGCCGGGGTAATTTTCTGGAGGAAGAAGAAAAAAGAAAAGCAAATGATCATGATTAAACAGTATTAAGGGATTTTTTTTTGTTGTAATATTAACTGGGGTTGTGTGGAAAGATTAAAATTAACTTAGGCTAGTGAGGTGTGGATAAGCCGATTCTGAAAACACTTTATTTATTCATTCCTTCTTTACTACAGCATTAAACAACAAATGTCTAAAAAATAATTTAAAAGGTGACAAAATGCGAAATAAGATATATAAATTGAAACCAAATTTAGTCAATTAAAAAATTATACAAAATGTACCGCAGAGGAAATATTATCAAACAACTTTAGTGTAAAATTTGTTCTGTTTAGTGTCACATTGTAAATAAAATTGCACATGAAACTTAAACCATAACGTCTTATTACACCAAAATAACATTAGATTCCTTTTTTTTTAATACAATGGGTTACGTTGGGAAACAATTGTAGATGGCGAATAATAATTATTTAAAACAAATAACGTCATATACAAGGTGACAAAATGCTAACGTTAAATAAAGTAACGTTGTATACATTCAAATCAATACTTTGTCTTTAAGCAAGAGTCCCCAATAATGTCAACATACAGCTTCATTTTACTCAAAGATCATACAGTTATATTATCTACTAGTGAGTTTACATTTACGTATATGAAATTAATCAATTATAATATAAAACACTTACAATCTAACACAATGCGCTGCAGAGGTAATATATAAGCAACTTTATAATAAATGAATACAAATAATAAAAATGTCATTTTCAAACCGCATGTGCCGAAATTGCCATTTTATACTGATAGAATAGTCATTCAGAAGTATGTTTTTGGTGGTTCTGTTTACGTGTCGCTTTGTTGATCAACGTGGAATTAGCTCACATGCTAATCTTAGCTGAACCATGCACCAGTGAGTAGCCATATAAACAGCTAACTGTGAGAGATTTTACAGCAACTCAATTTCGTTTTACCTCAGTATTTTGTGCGAGTCAATCCCCAGCTCCTTATGTAACGGGTTTCATTTTAAAAACAAGGTAATGTGTTAGCATATGAACATGATTTCTGGATTGTGTGCGGTCCCCTTTAAATCACACGAGCGCTTCCTCTTTGTTTGCAAGTGTTTCCTGTGCAGTGCGCATGTGCACCAAAAATACCGTTGATGTTTTATTTTAAAGTTATTTATTTTTGCAAACATGTATCGACCTGGTTTCTAGACATAAATACAAGATAAATTTAGACTTTGAATTTATTTCAAAATGTTTAAACTCCTTGCGTTAACAAGAATTTCACGTTTTGTTCTACAACACATATTAAAACCTCAAATAACACTCTGTTATTAATAATAATAATAATAATAATAATAATAATAAACGTAAGTAAAAAAACAACAACAAGTTGCTAAATAAGGACAAAATGGTTGTCTTTTTCATCAAGCAAGTAAAAACTCAAGTCAGGTTGTGGTGGTAGTTGATAACGTTAGTCCTTATCAAAGACTTTAGATATAGGCTACTTTAGATATATTATTAGATATATGAAAGATTATAGCGGAATAGGTCCCTCCTAAATAAACCCGCCAATTGGTTAAGTCTTCCTGTCACTGCGAAACACAACTCTGTTTGCTATAAAAACGGGCAAAACAAGTAAATAAAGCACTTAGCCTATACTATGCCCTGTGTACTCTACCGTGGATATCATCTAAAGTCTCTAATGTTATTTTGTCATCCATCATCGGAGTCAGATAGCCCTCCCCCTCATCTAAAAGGATGACGTGTCTAACAGTCCACCCTTCGTTCTTTCGGTTAATTTGTGTCACCAATCAAAATGGACCATTCTTATTTTATGGAATATTGCAGCATTTATAATAAATGATTTATCTGTGCATATCATTGTTTTTTATATCATTATTATTATTCATGCTCCCCATATTTCAAAATAGGCTATCTTCCCCTACCTTTTGGAGCAACATCTCTTCACTTCTCTGATGACGTGTTTTCTGGCATGAGGGCGGGATCAACCTGTCACTCACATGACATCACAGCAATAGCAAACCACAACCATCTAATCAATTTCCCAGTACCGCCCTATTTTTTCTGGTTCAATTAAATCCATTTAAATTCACATTTGCACTTTTCACAATACCTACATATTGTTCCAAGCAGCTTTATAGAAAATGAATGTATCATGATAATTAAGAGTAACCTGTTTTCAGAGGTGACTGTGTCAAAGCAATGTTCATATGACAGAAATGTATAGTTCTAAGACAATACAAATAGGCCAATGCCGCTAATATCCTTTATTTATTTAAGTACAAAACAATGAGCATATTAAAGCAATGATTACCTACATGTTGTGACCATGAATACAACATGGAAAAGTTGGCAGTGTTGAATATGTTGATTAAGAGTTGGCATCATCTGAAGTCCGAGCAGGGGTTGGCATCATCTCTTCACAGGTGTTGGGTCATCTGAAATCTTCAGAGGCGTGATCCAAACTGGAGCTGGTGTAATCTGTATAACCTCGGAATGGGCAAATGGAGCATAATTAGCGTAGCTGTTGTTCATAACATTTCAAGCAAATAAATAAATAATCATGTGCATTTCATCTGATATAACTGGAGCACAAGGTTATGAGATGCATTATGTGAATGCATGACTAAAAAGATGCATCTTTAATCTAAACTGGGAGAGTGAATCTGAGCCCCAAACTTTATCATAAAGGCTATTCCAGAGTTTAGGAGCCAAATGTGAACACTCTCCCTCTTTTAGTGGACCAGGTAGCCTACTACCAAAGATTGTAGCGCGATAAAATATTTGTTAAATACACCGGAGATAAACCATTTAGGGCCTTATAAGTGTGTTAGCAATACTTTGTAATCGATTCGTAACCAGTACAAGGAATAAAGCAATGAAAGCAAGCAATGAAACATGCCAAGTTGTGCGGACATAATTTTTGGTCATACAAAGTTCGTCATACAAAGAAATTAAAAACATGGAAAAACAAGAGAGAACCAATGAAATATGAATAACTGATTGTGTTGTCAATGTATATGCTTTTTCCTGTGAGTTTTTTTGTTTTTGTGCATAATAAAATAAAACCATATGCCTTTTTTCTTTTTTGGCATTAGCAACTGAGAATGAATGCCTTTAAATAACAATATTGCAATGTTTATACCAAACGCACAATCACAGAAGCTTTTGTTTCCTTTTGTGGATTGGAGGAATAATAGTTTATTCAGCAGACACAGCAAGTTCTTCGCCAGACTAGCACATCTTCATCATACCAAAAGATGGCCGTAATTCCACCACAACCCATTTACATTGCACTTGAGATATTTACCTCTATTATTTTGCAGAATCTGAATGAGACTGCAACTTATTACACCAAAATAACGAGTTGGGAAACATTCGATGCAATCTGCAAGACAATTATACGTTTATTATGGCATATAACAAAACTATTCCAACGAAATCTAATTTTAGTTCATCAGTAAATGAGCAGCATTAATGTTTTCCCCCCAGCAAAGTCAATTTAAATTCTTATATGATTCAGCAGATTCTGAAATATTAACCATAATGCCGATCTCAACATAATCACATCAGTCAGCATTTACTAGAAGACATTTCAAGGCTTCTACACCAACCACTCTCCTGTGTTTACTGAACATAAATATAAATGCACTGTTGATTCACCACACCACATCTTAATGTGCCTGATCTTGCCTAGAGCAGGGTTAACTTAGATGTGCTCTATTAACATACCATTACAGAGATCAAGGCACATTATTAAATCAACAAAGAGGTAATTTCATGCAGGGTATCATGGGAATGTAGCATCCTTAAATATGAGTTCATATCCATATAGACAATATCACTAATTAATTTCATCAACGGTTACACTAGCAAGCTAAAGCAGTATTTCGAATAACATCAGTATCACTGGCTAAACACCCTCTTCTTATTTTCTTCAGACAACTTCACTTTAATCATAATTGTTCCCTCAGGGGAATTTTCCATGTGAAAACAAATGAAGAAAAACCAAGGTTAATTCACTAAGGAATTATATGTCTTCTTCTGTAGCCAAGCTGAGATGTCTATATCATTTTCTTGTTTTCTCAAAAAAGCAACACTCAGCGAATCCTCTCTATGTATGAGTGTGGATTCTTTATACAAAAAAGATGAGAAGGAAATAAAAAATGAGGAAAGAAAGATTCAAAAGGGAAATATTGCTGGGGTTTTCTCGGTCCACTTGCGTACTGGGATGAGGTGAGATGTCTGCAGTACTTTTATACAACTCAATTAGGGAGTAAATCATGGGTCCCAAAAGACAGACTGAAGGGAAACTAATTGAATGATTCATCAGTCAGTGATGGCTTGTTTTAAAAACAATTAAAAACAAATTAAATGACAATGAAGCGGAATGATTAAAGAAAGAAACCGGCCATGTAACAATATAGACCAAAAATGAGGAAGCACACACATTTTTTTTGCATTGCTCATTCAAAGATTAACATTGCCAGATCATAGTCTTGAGAGGCCCCTGAAATATGTTTTTATCTTGCTTGTGCCTGTTTTAGCCTCGCACTCTAGGCTCAGGTGTTCTGATGGATGTCCCCCTGGGGCCCCTGACATTCCGAGGCCCCTAATTCAGTCCCTAATGTGAAAACAGACTGCTAAAACTGAAGTGCAAACTATATGTAATGTTTTTGGACACTTAATTGCATGTTACTTGCAATTAATTGAAAATGTATCATAGTTCAAATGTGTATTAAATAATGTTAGCTAAGTGTTTTTTTGTACACTCAAAATACTACTCAATACTTCTCAAAAGGCACTGTGTAGAATTAGCCTTTGTTTTTCATTGCATCGGGATTTCAGAGACTGCCACATACACATAAACAACAATCTTATTCCATTTCAACTGTATTAGGAAATATGTAAATTTTTTAGACCACAGATTAAAGATCACAAACATCAAAGTTCCATTTTACATTCATAAAAGGACAAGAAGCTATTCAATGTTAAAGAGACAGCACTGTAAAAAGTGATCAGTGGACTTTACTTAAAAAAATTTAGGAAACCCGTTGCCTTAATATTATTAAGCAAAAAAAAAAAAAAAAAAAATTTAAGTAATGTGAACTTGACAATTCCAAGTTACTCTGGCAAGTAAAAGTTAATGAAACAAAAGAAAATGTGTTGTGATAACTTTTTATTTTAAGTTGAATTAACTTAATGTAATTAAATTGCAGTTACTTAAAGCTCCAGTCCGTAACTTTTTTAAGTTAAAAATAATCCAAAATAATTATATTAAAAAAAACGTATTCTGCCAGTGGTCAAACCTATCTGCTTGCCATAGCTAGATTCAAAACGGTTAGCTTGTAATAATGATTTTAATTCCAGTGGTACTGGTGGGTTTCCGCGGGAAATTCGAGCATGTCTTTGCGTCATTACGTCACACCCGTACACATAAAGAAGGAGTTTCGGCTAGCCGGCTATACTGCGCGTGACGAGATGTTTAGATGTATAGGCTTTTCTCGCAGCACTTTACATAATTAAACTTATGGCATCCAGAAAGATCCAAACAACAATCATCAGTGTCAACTGGAGATTCAGCAGTTATAAAACCCAAAAGACTTCGTACTTCGGATTTAAGGTGGCTAGAGAAAGAGAAAGAAACGGTCTCATGCGAACACAAGGATTTAAACATCGGCGGGGCTTTTGAAAAGTGCGTGAACTCCGTGTTTTGAAGGGGTTCAAAACGGAAGAAGAGACAGCTTTTTTCTGCTGAACAAGTAAGACATTTCAATAGTTCAATCGTGTAACAGTACGTTTTCTTAATTCACACAGTTATGGAGTTTCCTTTGTTGTGCCTTTCTCGTTTTGCTATTATGGAGAATATGAATTCTGAACTGCAGGTAACCATAAAACACATTAAATTTAACATTAGTCACGCAATGCTGATGTTGTTAACATGAATTTGAGAACAAAGTAGGCTATAATTTGCACGGTTGCTGTAAATCGCGTTGATTAAATCTAACGAAGCTTATCATGTCGAATGCTTTTTCCCCCTTAGTTGGTCAGAACAAAAATGGATTTTACTTACTTGTTCAGA